TTTTAAAGTCAGTTTACAGCAGAGGCAAACATCTACTCTATCCAAAAGAGATAAAAAATATCCAAGAGAGATATCCAAAAGATCTCCAGTATCAAGCATAAATCTCCAGTATTGTGCACAGCTGTGGAATGATACACCTACAGGAGTTTGTTTCTGACCTTAAAGCCCATAATGGATAGCACAGACTAAAACCTCTCCTGCAAATTCAAGTTACTGTCTCCAGCTGTTTTAACATCCATGAGGTTGCACAACTGGAGCATAGGAGCTCCTATTAGAAGATCACCTGCAATTTTCTGCTCACTGGTACCACTCTACATGTTTAGACTACTCTTTCTCACTGGGGAAACTACACTAAGTGTGAACGCATGTTTCAAAGTGAAACCTTACTCATTTACCTTTGATTTGCATTTCACTACACCCCATACAGAGTCAAGAAGCTGAGACATTCAGTTCCTTAGAAGCTTTATTTTCATTCAAGCTACAGAAATAAAGTAGTACCTTCCAATTTCCCGTTATACTTTCTGCGTATTTGTACGGCTCATGGTGAGATGCACTAGGATAACTACCCTGTACATACGGAGGAAGATAAGGCTCAAAAACGCTTTACTTCAAAGAATGCCAAACCTTACCTATCAGGTTGGCTTCAACTCCTCAATAACATTAATAGGCACAACATAAGGAAAAAAGATTGATCTAAACTATCTATTCTAAGCAAAATTCAATAATTCGTTACAGAAAATCATCCAAGGAAGCTTTTTAGAAATAACAAAACAGTTGTTTTCTACTTTGAAAAAACTAGAAAAAATAGATGAGTCATTTTTGCTTTATATATGATATATTCACACACATACTTTCAAGTATCATTTACTATTATCATACTTACATGACTAGAGATAAAAAAGTGAAAATCCCATAAGCAGATTATTAAGCCAAAGAAGTCACACACAGTCTTTATCTGGGTTTAGCAACACCTGGAATTTTCAATGGTATTATAGTGACCAAAAAAGCAGTGACTAGATTCAGTGTAGTTCTTCCCTTTATTAAACACATTTTAGTAAGGCTTGAGAAGTATCAGGATTTAGAAAAGTAGAGATGGGAAAAGCACAGGCAGTCATAAACCCCACAAATTCACAGCTAAACTGGTCACATGCTCATAGTAGCAGGGAATAAAATAAAACTCTGAGTTATATTTGGTTAGCAGGCAAACCAATAGCAGATTTCAGCTAGGGTGTTTTTACATTTAGGGCATCACATAAAATAACAAGCTAAACGCTAGGAAGTGTAACAATCATCATGTGCTCAGCCACAACTCACATTTAGCTCTGGACATCAGAACCTGCTCCACTTCAAAACAGGGAGGCTAGCAGGGCACCCCAGCCTTTTGGGAACAGGCCAGGCAGCCACTAGGCAAGAACAGAAGTGACCGTGGTTTTTATCACATGGGAAGGAATATAAGTGCTTATTCAAGGCTTTGCTGCAGTGCCACAGCTGGACACACAAGACCAAATCCTATCGGAACACAAAACTGTAGGGGCAAAAAGGCAGAAAATCTGTTCAAGCAGCTACAGTGATGAGTGTCCTGCAAAGACATCAAAATGGAAAGTCTTCAAGATTTAAGAGCTCCTGGAGCTTTGAAATGATGATGGAGAGGCCCAGCTGCTGCATTTGGAAGCCAGGACTGGTTCCACACTGCTCATTAATACACTCTGCACTCCTGCTCTCCAAGTCTAGTTCAGATAGACATGTATGAAATGTCTCAAAGTGAAATGGGTGTAAACTATTTCCTTACTGGTCATTTCCATTTGTGTTTCTTGCCCAATATGAAAAGGCACAAACTCTGCATTTTTAAAAAAAAAAAAAAAAAAAAAAAAATGTATCTAAGACCTAACTCAAACCTACTCACAAGAAAATTAACAGAAACCATCGACTTCTTAAGAGGACAAAATCGTCTAAAAGTTAAGTGCTAGGAAGTCTGAAAGCTCTATGGGTTTAACTATTAAGCTTAACTATTTGGTTTAGTACTTCAGTGCAGGATGTTCTTAAAATCTAGTTTTAAAACCAACACACCCTGACTCAAAAGTAAAGCTTCTTGGAAACCAGAGAGGTCACATATATCAAAGGGAAGATCCAGGTCACTTTACTAGGCTGAAACACAATGGTTCTTCACTTTTAGTAAGGGTCCCATGGAGCTGTCCCCAAATATTTTTTCCAAGCATTTCTGTAAGATAAGATTCCATTAGGCAGGATGGAAGTTTTGAGCTTGGTCCAAGCTTTGCTAAAAGCTACCAATCCAAGTTCTTCAAATCTGGGTAACATCAATAACTAAGTTTCCTGAGCTAGAGACAGCCTGAAACATAAGACAGTGACAGTGCAGCAAGACGAACAGAAATTGACAATGAAAATCATTGTCCTGCGCAAGACTTAGGGTACACCCAGAAGCTGTTAATTCACAAGTAATCCTTATCTATTATCCCTTCTTCCCGGGCTACATTTTGGCACAGTATTACACCTCTGTAAACACAGCAAGCTTCTGCTTTCTTTCCTTGCTCTGCTGGTTTCGTACTATACCAAAACCCACTTCCGAATAAATGCTTCACACCTTTACTCTTTAATCTTCTCAGGCTTGCTAAAACCACACACTGACAATGACCACACACTGACAATGGCTACTCATTTAGCTGGAAATTTAATGACACTGAACATTTTCTACCAAAACTAGATACTTTAAATTTAAACATCTTCTGCTTTTGCCTCTTACAAGCCTGTGGCTGTTTATTAATACGCAGAACGGAGAGCTCTCAGCACTCTCCCATAGTACAGAATACAAACTATACCATCACAATCAGAGGAACATTAGTATGCAGCACAAAGTCATAGAAAACTAGGTTCATGGTCACTTCTTCTAGCAATGAATTAAAGGCATAGGTTATATATTTCATAAAGCCAGTATGTAATTCAGTTTTCACTCAAGCCTTCCAGAAAGACAGAAATTGTTATTTGAGCAGAGAAGGGCCTCAAATCAACCTACTTGAATTTTCATATTAAGTGCAAGTCAGTTGACTGCTTAAATGGGCTCAGGCTGAAAAACACCAAAACACTATCAATCACTCTTCTAGATTAACAAAATACTGCTACCTTGACCAATATTCCAGTCTTGTAGCGAAATTAAACAAAGCCAATACTGCATACTTCTCACAACAGCACTCAGGTTAATCTTAATGCTCTTTACAAAAGGGCGGCACTACCTGTGCTTCTGAATTAAACTCATTTTAGTGAGCCTTGCCCCAGTGCTCCCAAACTGCATACACACAGGCAATCTAACATTACCACTCAGGAAACCAATTTATCTTTATCTTCCCATGCATACAAGCATTACTGGTTTATTCAGAAATGTCAAAGCTTTTATAACTACTCAGCTTGAGGCTGGTGATACAGAACAGAAATAGTTGAGAGAAATTGAGTTCTAAAAGCTTACTTGAGTTGCAAAGATGATTAGCTGAAGCAGCAAGCTGAAAAACAGGCAGGGACTGCTATACTCTACTATGAATGGTTCTATTAAACCCAACTTGCTTTGCACACCTGCAGAATCAAGGCAGACAACCAGTTACACCAGAATCCACCAAAACCAGTGTGGAAACAGCCTAATGGTTCTTTCCACTTTCAACATCTATCCTAGTTAATGACCAGTACTGAAGGCATAGTATCATTAGATAAAGGTGACTGCTCTAAGTGTTTCAACTAAACAGATTTAATCCAGAAGTTAACCTAATACCCTTTTAGCATAGGCTGATACACCATCTACAACACACATTTTTATAAAACGTGCAAGAAAATATTCAAGTCTATCTTGGCACAAAGAAACACTTCAGTGACTTAATCAGGCAGATTTAAAAGCCTGATTCAACCAAAGCTTCACTGCCATCGTGACTAAACTTGCTTTACGGAGTTACCACAAAGATTGAAATCCCAGTAAGCATCTGCGTTTAAGATCTTGCCTGGGCTGTGCAGCATTTCTTCAGTTAAAGTACACAACACCCTAAAAAATAAGAAATCAGCAATAAAGCACCGATCTTGCTGCATGTGCTACTTTTAAAGAATGGAAAGAAAAAGCCTCTCACATTGTGCTCAAGAGACGAAGTTAACTCAACAGCCTTCAAATTTTTCCCTCAATCCTGCAAGTCAAGCAAACGTACAGCTCTCACAGCAACTTTCAAGCCAACAGAAGTTTCCTTCTGTCGTAAGACATTACATAATAGCAGACTATCTAGATACTCATATACTTTTATTTTGTAGCCATGTCTCTAGCACACTTTACTTCATATAGGAATTTATGTACTTAAAGTAGAATCACTCAAGCGCTTTTACTCTAGTTCCTACTTGAAACTAGACAGCGTTCTACGTACCCTCGAATTTCTTGGTTGGCATAAACCAAAGTCAAAAGAGAAACAACACAAACTATGATCAATTAGACCAACCACTAAGACAAAAAAGTAGCCACATCAATATAATTTCACTTTGACTTAGGGTGCTATCTAACAGATTTATTAAAAGTTTCAACAGACTATAGCTCCAGACTTTATCTTTCTTGGAAGACACTACAATAGAAGCCACAGTAGAGACTGCCTTGTCACAAGAGGTACAAGTACTTGCTGTATAGATGGAGAAATAAAAGGACAAATCTAGTTGTCTGAAAGACAATTCACTGTACACATTTTATTTACAGTTTTGTACACTGTCTTAATATGAATGGGACCGCTTCTCTACTTGAGCCATTTTAACCAAAGCAAAGTAACCTAAGTAATACAAAGTGTTAAAATACAGCATAAGATACAAAAACAGACATACTATTTCTAGTAAGGAATGTAAATTATGGTGTTACATTAAAAAAATTCCACAATTATGTTTAGGAAATCACACAAACAGATCACTGATTTGACTGAAATGCATAAATTTGTAGCAAAGCTTTGATGTTACAAAAAACCAAAAAAATTACCAAAGAATGCACAAAATTAATGTTTATTCCACCTTTGTCATATTCCCAGATTCTTCACCAAATGTTACATGAGCAAAAACAACTGAAATCAAAATATCACTAATGTTATCAAATAGGGAAAACAAATAAATTAATCTAGCAGCCATCAGCACAGGTTACAGCAAAGGTGATGCTGTATAAAAAAATTGCTAGAAAACTGTATGCACCATACTCTTTTCCAAACCAGCAAAATGTTACTGCATACAATGCAAATGTAAAACAGAGTAATTTCCTGCAGGTACAGAAATGCAACTTCTTTTCTGAATACTGTGGATAAACGTTTTTGTTTCTTTTTTTCAATATAGTAATGTTTCTACCAAGCTATTACAGAGTGGGCCAGAAAAACATTTATGGATTCAGGGGTGAAGTGCACCAAAATGATGATCGGTAATGTTTACTTCAGCCAAAATACAAAAAAAAAAAAAATGAACACAGAAGTACAAGACAAAGGCGAATGAGACTTCTCACAAATCCTAGCAACACTTAGATGGAAATCAAATTTAAATGTAGTCCACTCTGCTTTTGAAGAGGCTTTGGTTCAGCTCCCAAATCTCGATTGCTTGACGCAGTCTCCTATGAAAGAATACTCAGAAGGTCTCTTCTTAAACAACAAATCTATTTTTAGTGGTGGAGCCGCTCTTAGTAGCTGTGTCTGCATGGGACTGGTAACCAATCACTATCTTTGGAGGAAGTCCTAATCTTTCCTTGTATACTCTCCTGGAGAAAAGAAACAGAACAACAGTTTAAGCAAAGCCCTCAGGAAGGTAGCAGGACATCTGCTTTTAAGATCTGCTGAAACCTTCATGAAAAATAATTGCCTATTTAGAAACAATTTCCTAGGTATACATAAAGGACTTGAAACAGGACTTCTTTAGCTTATTGCATCTAAAATCAGATCATAGTTCTTTTCTGTATGAACGATGACTTACCATACAAAGCAGGACAAGCTCTTGCCTACAGGCCTACGTAAATGTACAACAGGAATCTACTACTATCACATCAATATCATTATCAGCAGGCTATATTCCCACATATAGAAACAAAACAGCTATGAAGTCATGGTCCATGATTCCAGAGCTACCAAGACGATAAAGTCACCTGAACCAAATAAAAAACCAGCAATTCTCTTGAACAGTCAGTTTTTAATCACCACACACATCCTAGTTGCAGACTCACTGTCACTTCTTTCACTACTGAAGGAAAATAGACTTCCTTTCCCCCAATTCATCCTGGTGCTGGTCATGGGCAGACACTCAACACAAGCTCTAAGAAAAAATCAGCTTGGATCTCACACCTGAAGAGAACAAAGCAGCAGTATCCACCCACTCACACTCTGTGTTCCTTAGCAGAGAGTGAGATGCAACCACTAACAGCACTAGGCTGCATGCTCTGACTAAACCACAGAGCAAGCCTGTTCTGCTGCAGATCGTTAACTATATACATGTGCTCTTTTTTTAACTTAGCCTAATTTCATCTGTTAAATAAAAGCCAGATGTATTGTATTTGGAGTTATGGCAACACAACAACAGGTAGTCAAATATAACTTAGTCATTGTGTCAGTTTGCAAAATCTTTAACTTTTTTACAGTTGTCTAATGGATTCAGCTCCTTAGTTAATGGTTAATATCATTCTAAAAATGCTCTCTGATGCCTACTAGGTGTAATGTAAGTTTGTTTTCTAGTAGAAGATATGTACCACAGTTCTGTTTTTAAACACTTACCTTTCCAAGTCTGAACATAATTGTATAATCAAATGGTTAGTATAAGGTAGATCCCACCAGATTCTTAAAGGTCCAAATGAGGAATGTCACGAGAGCCACTCAGTAAATGAAATATGTTAGCAAGCTAGTACACTTGACAGTTAAAGGCTGGCCTAAGGCAGATGTGCCAAGATGGGAAAATAACCCATGCAAAATAACAAAAATATTTAGGTGGCCTAGAATGATCAAATTTCAGGGCAAGTAATTTTGAAGCATCAATGCTACAGCATAAAGAATCCACTAGCTTTAGCAATACTTGCTAAACAGCAGGGCATAACATGAATTTTCCATAGTACAGTCTGATGATAATCTGAGATGACTACCGTTGCTTACTGTAATGAAGACTGGAGCATACTACTACACATGTCAAATAATCCATGAAAAACTAATTATTTTGTTTTATTTGTACTTAAACAGAGACAAAAAGGTAAGAAAACATCTGTAGATCTTCATAGCATATCAGTGTCCAGCTTTTCTCAAATATCAGGACATCCTTGTGATCTTAAGATTTATAGCGCCTTTTCTCTCCCATTTGTAAGCACATCACTTTCCTGAGAAAAATCCCACCAATGCTCTACTGTTACTGGCTACCCACCATCACAAACTGTCACACTGCAACAGAATCTACACTAGTGACAGTTACTGCAATATACAACACTTCACTGTGAAATGAAAAACTTCTGCCAAGATGTGTGTTCCATTCTTCATTCCTTCTGAACAGTACAGCTCTGCACATCTGCCTGAAGTGCTTTCTCCATCGAGTTAGCTGGCTTTAAGTGCATTGTAACACTTCATATATTCAAGACACCAAGCATACTACTTACCCTATATGCGTAACAGCATCCCTGTTTTCACATTCAGTTGTCCATATTGCTATTTTATCACCCTTAGTTCTAACATTAACAACAGCACCACATACATCATCACTGTAGTCATCAAACGACTCTCCAATAAGGCACAGCAGCTACAAAAGAAAAATTAACCATTAGAAGTGGCAATTCTAAGTCAGAAACCAGCTCCATAGGCAAACACTCAGTGCACACGGAGGACTGAGGATACATTTTACTGCTTATAGTCACTTGCCATGCAGCAATCACTCTCTATTTATTGTAGTATCTTCTTGAAGTTCCAAATGTTACAAGTGAACATAAACTCAATGTGGTAGAGTATCTTCCTCCTATTTTGAGTTTTCCATATCTCCTCCAATCCAGGCAGCTGCAAGTTCTGACACAGCTGATAATTTACGAAGTGTTGCCTCCCGCTCCATCCTCCCCATCCAAAACCAGGTAAGAATTAAAGGAATTTATTCTTTCTAAAGTATGTTGAACACAGGTAGAAAAATCTGAAATCTTAAGTGTTCACATTCGCTATCTAGAAGAATCTGTGAAGAACTGTTTGAGCAAAGTCAGCTCTGTATGGTCCAACTTCAATTCTGAATTATGTCAATTCAGAGGCAAATCAGACTGCAACTTAGAAGAAAAGGGCTATCTAACAAAGCATTACTTCCTAGCAACACACTCAGGAAGCTTCAGAGTACCCACAGGCTCTAAAGTGGGACTGAACCATCCTTGAACAGTGTGTAATGCAAGCGCAGCAAAATATGTAACATGAGATCCTTCCCCCATGGATTTCTAACAGTGAAGCTTGGAACTGGCAAAGGTGATATACGTCAGGAATATCACATCGAGCTAGGTCACATCCCTGTACAGCACGCTAACTGTGAAAGTGGTATTTATAATCTTCAACTTGTAAACAAAGCAGTTTTCAGATATTTAAAACTGCGCAATTCTTATTCATCTAGTCCGTGCTGAATTAAAATCCTTCTGCACACTGAAGTATATTAATCTCCAAATGGACACTTGTTTACTTCACTTGCACAGTACGTTAAATACACAACCATTACATTCATCTTCCAGGATAACATCTGGAAGTTGCAATTTCTTGACCAAAGCAGGTCTTTCAGTACCCTTGAGAGCTCCAACGGCTGACTTCATCAAGGAAATACAAAAAAAAGACAAAGTGTGCTACTGAATAAATCAGAGTAAACTACACGTACTTTCTGTGTTATGCCCAATTGCAGGCTGCACAGATTCACAGAGTAATAAAAGCCATAAATGTCTAAGTTGAAATCACACAGAAATTCAAAATGTTGATCAACTGTCTTAGTACATATAAACGCAAAGATGAATACCATGCTCAATAAACACAATAGTCAAATAAATTCCTCGTGAATGCTGCACATTGGAAGAAAAAAGTCTTTGCAAATGAAGTTGAATTTATTTTAGTATTTTAGTCACCTCAGCTTTGATTCTGAAGGCCATTTGCCCCTTTCAAAGGGGTACAGTACCCCTGTACTGTAAGTAGTGTGCTTGGTAAGATTGCTTTGTATTGTACTGTCTGCAATCCATGCCCCTAAAACTCAGATTGTACTAGGCTGTTTTAGGCTACTTTGAGTCAGTTCCTAGAGAGTACAATTGTATCCATTACTACAGTGCATTTACTACAACCCACATAATGTCCAGAAGTATGCTTACCTTTTATTTTTTTTTAAAAAAATCTATTCCAAAGAGAATATTCCAATAAAGAAAAGTATTTTTATAATGTGCATACAGGAAGACTATACTAATAACTTGCCTATCCTACAGTCAAGATAAGTACAGGAAGAATAGAAATAAAAAACTGAAATTCCCTTGTTTCAGCAAAACCAAAACCTGAAAACTATTCACTCGTAAGAGTATTTGTTAAAAAAAAAAAGTTCCATTTAAGCAGTTAAACCTGGGAGTCACATTCAAGAAAAGTATTATTTTCTCAGTGCTCAACAGCTACTTTACACACTCCATAGGAAAAGGTTAACCTGTCCTGTAGAATTATCTCTACTGCTGCCCATATAAGAATGTATTCAGAATACACATTGAGCATCACTATTGAAAAAAATCATGTTTCAAATACAATCTGTCAATAAAAGCTTAAAGGACACTGTACTGCCAGGATGTCAGAAGTCTAGTGTGGCACACTAGAACAAACGAGTTAAAATATTAAATACAAATGCAAGATTCTTCAGTTGCGATTTGTGAGGCCATAGTGCTTACTGTCTCTAGCCAGAAGCGATCAAGGTCACTTCGTCTCTGCTGTTTGTTTAGTGTAATTAACCATCGTCCTCCTCGCTTGTTTTTTTCATCTTCCCACATAGGTTCAATCCCATCCTGCAAAGAACGGCCAGAAGTTAAATCAGACTTGACCTGTATTTTCCCTAAACAATAAGAACACAAAGGCCAGTAATAACTGAAATAGTAACTTAAGCAAAAAGTGTATACTTTAATATACATACCTGTACAGAAATACTGCGTTATACCAATACCAAAGTCCCAAACCAGCTTAACAAGTGCATTTTGTCTTTGAATTATTTCTACAGAAGAATCACAGCCCAGGCAAAAGTCTTGCCTACACAATGTTACATAATAAAAACCTGTGGGAACCGGCAAAGTCAACCATCCGCTTTGCCCCGTATGCAACCAGATAAAATTAGCAGCTACATTCTGGAGTCTTCATTTTAAGTCTTGGACTCGGTGCAACATCGGCCCAGTGCTTCATTTATGCATAAAGATTACTTCACTGAAATAGACACCCTTGGCAGTCTCCCTCAGTGACTTCCTGCACACATATGGTGAGAGTAAGAGGGTTCTAATTATCAGGACCACCAAAACCAAAAATAAATTTAAAAAAAAAAGTCAACACACCATTTAGAAGCAAGTTGCGTTCTGATTCATGCTTTACCAATTCCCTGCATCAAATTAAATAACTCTCTGATCCAGCAAAGCAGCCAGCTGCCACTCCCATATCCACCAGCTACACTGTACTTCAGGAAAGTCAGTCATTAAAAAAGCAGGTAAATGTCTAGACAGAGAAAATGGGTTAAGAACTGTTAAGTCACACTACAGAAATGTGGCTGAAAACTTGTCCTCAACATGCAAAATGGAGTGGTGTCAGCTCACTTTAAATTTAAAAGCCCTCACTGGCAGCTGCAGAGCTCAAACTACTTCACCTTTCAGAGGCACTCTTAGGAGGTCACTGCTGAAGGACAACAGCAAGAGACTGCTCAGAAGCCTGCAACAATTGCCAATTCCGTACCTGTTCTATGCATTTAAATAATTTATTGCTGACTGATGATAAGCAAACATGGAATAGATACATACTCAAACCACAAATTTAGGATTCATGCAAAAAATACTGGCATGATCTCACAAATATTCTCATCTCTAAAGGGCCTAGAGCTTCTTAAAATTTACCAGCAAGCTTTCTCAGCCATCTAAAACACTACCTTCCCTAACCCAACCACTACCACCTCTTCACTACCTAAGGCTGCTGAGGTTTACAAGCTACATACAATCTACTGAGGAGTTCCAGTCAGGAGCTTTTTAAGCAAAGGAGGAACCACATACCAGTACTTATGGGATTATTTAGGTATTTGAATCCAGAAATGAAGCTGTATGTTAGAAGCACTTCAGACAAGTTAGGATTTAATTTAGAGTTCTGGTTCAGATGTCCACTCCAGCTAAGGCACAGTGAGATGCTTTCTCATTAGTTTTTCGTATTCCCTAGTTTGAACGCTTCCTCAGCATGCTTTAAGTGTCAGTGTTGGGCACAATTTGCTACTTCATATACAAGTAATATGGCTTTTAACTGGTAGTGTAAAAGTGGAGGAGCATTGTGCTGCTGGTTACCAGCACTCAAAGAATACTGGAGTCCATTGCAGTCTCCCACAGAGCCTGGACGTTTCAGGTCACATCAAATAACAAAGCTGCAAAGTCTTCCATATTATAGAAATTAGATAATTATTTGCATGAACATCTCAAACACAGATTAAAACGTACTGTCTGTGAAGTGCATTAAAGCAAGTACTTGCATTTTCAGAAGTAGTAACAGCCCGATTTTCAGAGGGCATGTGTCTGGGACTTCCAAAAAAAAAAATTAACACCTTTAGGACATTCCCAATCACGTTTCCAAATATCTCAATGAAATATTTGGACAATGTTTTGCTTAGTTAGGAAACCATCCATCAGCCGCCATAACTGAAGAAAAAAACCAAACAAGCATACCTTAAAGAGCGAGTAGTCACAACCAGGCATTAAATTACTAGAGAGCTGGATATGGTTGTATAAACTATTGGAGGGAAAAAAGCAGGATTAAAAACTAAGCATTATTTTAACATACAAAATTCTCAAATAATTTAAAGACATATGACCAAACAAAACACAAAAATTATAAAGCATTCAAGTAATTTCAGAAGCAATCCTGTTTCTTAAGGATTTTTCAGCAGTACAAAAGCATTAGCTTTACGACATTCTGGGCTTCAAGAAGTAGCAGGAAAACTGGTTTATGAACACTTGCTGGGTTCCTACACCAAAGCATCTTTTAAACGTAGATCTAACAAAATCATTAGAAATATATCTCACAACTTTCCAAGACAGTTCTGTGTGCATGCATATTCTGCACATATACATACACGGAAGAAAGAGAACTTCGTATTTCTAAGGTTACTCTCTCTGCAGAGAAACACTGTAGGAGAAGTATTCAACTTTCCTGTTTAATACAATACTCTAGGGATGAATGCTGTAGGCTTGATGTCTGTATGAAAGAAGGACTCAAAAGGCAAAACCAGGTAATTAATTCAAACACCAAAACATACACTCAGAATTAAATTTACAACTATGCAATTCAGAATATTAAAAAAAAAAAAAAATCAAAGGAGTACACACTGTCTCCTCCTCTAGCAATCAGACAGATGCTTTTTTTTCCCTGCACTGTTAAGACTAGACTTCAGAAAAAGGCCTGCACATGTCACAGTAACCTGTAGTCCAATATCAAACCCAGGCATGGTCCAGCACATCAAAAAGGAAATTATTACTATGTTCTAACAATTTAGAAATCAGGCATAGTAATTTACAAAGCCAGCTACAGATTTACTAGCCTCCTTCCTTTAAGTTTACCTTAGTATTTTCTCCCCAGAATAACATACCTATTGCCCACTCTGACCACAATGGAGGCATAACTTCTCAACCACTTGTGAATTATTATATGCAGACATCTAGATAAGCACTTATATTAGTTACCCAGACTCTCTTGATTACAGGAGCTCAAAACCATATCCTTAACCAAGTTTAATAGTGTGCTTTAAAGAACTGAAATACCCCAAGAGTGCAAAACTACCATTCACGCAGCCATGAGTCACTCCCACAGTAGGAATGGGAAAGGTGGTGACAAGCACAGAATCCTGTTCCCCTCCCACAGACAACTGATCAACAACCTGTTCAACATTTTCAGTATCTTTTCTTCCCTGTTGGTGCTAATAGGTCACTGATGGGTCTTATTAATTCCACTAAGATGCCACTTCCCTGTTACTAACCACATCCAAAAGAAGGTAAGCAACAAAAGCCTTAAGAACCCTACGACTCAATGTAGCTTGAAACATTAGGATGAAATATATAGCACATTTTTTTTCACCCTCAGTTTCATGACACCTGCATTTTCTCCATATTTCATCACCGTGGCAGGCAAAATCTTTCAAGTAAGTCACTCGAATTTGACCGAAGCAAGTGTTTGGAAAGTACAGGCCTAACCTCAAGGGCCTTGTTACTACTATTTGAGTCTAACTGCTTTCGTAGACTTTCAAATAAGAATGAAGGTAGTTTCTTCTGTAACCTCTAATCAAATTTTTAAAGGATGCCATTATTCTGCATCAATTTCTCAAGTACTATACTGCAGATTCAGACACTCTTGAATATCTGAAGTGAGCCAGCTGCATAAGAATTTAGTCAACTAGCAAAATTTAGGGCCAATGAAGTGACAATTGGCTATAAAAATTTATAAATTCATGTTACTATGTATGAGAAAGCTATTGCACAAATACAATTTTTAACACATATGTCATGTACATATGAATATAAGCAGCGTTGCAGTGTTAACAGCAAGACAATGTGCAAAGTATGAAGAACTTCCTCAATCACATTTTCTTCAAAGGTTACATTCTACCATATTTTAAATATAGGGTAGATCTCACCTTCAATTTTGGAAACATTTCAGGTTATACACAAGAAGCTGCAGTTAATGGAGTCCTTTATGGTTTTTTTTTTTACTTTAGCATAAGTTTTGCCAGGACACAAGATTATTATGCAGACTTAAAAATTTTTACTTACGCCCAAAAATCTTCAACAGTATCAAACTTTGAGATAAGACGAAGATTTGCTTGCCAAGTTTTGCTCTTGTCATTTTTAAAAAACCAGAGTGCCCACCTAAAGGAAAGCAAAATAAAATAGCATCTAGAAATTACATTACAAATATAATTCATTATTTATATTGTCATATTCAAAGTAATTGCAAATCTGAAGATATTGTCATTATGGAAGTCAGCTCTCACCAATCGGTTGCATGAAAAAACTCAGATCACAAATATAACCCTTTCCACATCAACAATATTTGTGTTCCTGTTACAAAAATCATGGCAGACATGATCAATCTGTTTAGGTAAATATACTTGGAACATTTCTAAGACTCTAAACCCCTAAGCCTCAGGCGGTTTTCTTTGCTGCCACTGCTAAACTGCAATCCCCTACCACAAAAAACTGATTACAGTCTAAAACAACACCAACTATTCAAAAACAAGGAGCACAGGTCCCTTTAGCAGTAATTTCCTTGTAAAGGTTACAACAGTTAATTATATCACTCCAAAGCAATACACAACATGGAAGTTTCCCCAAGCATTCACATACTAGGAGAGCATAAATTTTAAAAGGGAAGCTGTGTTAAGCTTACTAATGGCAACAATCTTAAAAACCACAGCACTAACTTTAACTATTTCAGGTTTTTAAATCTGCATATATAAAGACAAGACAAAATGAAAAATTTTCCATCCATTTTTCTTAATGATCTTAATGATCTAAGAACAAATCTCAACACATGCTATAAATTGAACCTTTCACACAAAAATGCTCTTTCTTGATCTAAAAAGCATTGTTGAAAATCCTGGAGCAGGATACCTAACAAGTCATTTAACAAAATAGGTTTATTTTTATTCTGATCTTTTCAGTAGTGTTTAAACCACTCAGGTTAGCAGTAAATTAGTAGTACTCAGCTGTGAGAAGATATAAGTCACCAGGCGTCAATCTATTGTTTCTAGACATTTCCTGACATTCCAAACCTTGTTTTAAAAGTTTACTATTTTCCAGTAATAGCCCCACTACCACTTGTAAAGGAGGGGCAGCACGAATTTAATCAAAGTGTTTAGAAGAAAAAGTGGAAGGATGGAAATTGGCAAGACACCAAGGGAAAATGGGATGCACACAGCATAGCGTTACAGTGCAGAATGGCTTTCCATACTTGCTCAAAACTTAAAAAAAAAAAAATAAAGTGCCACTTAGTAAAAGGCTCGCTTCAGGGCAGTGTGTACCCAAAAAGTACCAAGCACTCCACATCAGCTCTTCAGCCTACTTGGAGAAAACTATTCCTAGTTGCTCTTTTTTCAAGTATACGTGTGCTGCTGGAGTAACTTTTGTGCACATTTAAAGGAGTTCAAACTGAAAGCTTATATCTTTAGTGCAAAAAGACAGTTCAAGTCCAAATTTTCAAGTACAAAGCTTCCTGGGTAAAGTCCTCAATGCCTCTAGTAGTTTCTAAAGCTACTAACACACACTTGGTTCTACACACTGAATACAGAATTTCCAGGGCTTTGATTTTTTCAGTAACTTTCCTTAACTATACTTGTACTTAACTACTGCTCCACGTTTTTCTTGTTGAACAAGAAAATTTAGAGTGCCCTATCTTGATGTTCCTTTTAGTGACACACTGATAAAAATGTGTACATTTGCACTTTGCAGAGTTTCTTCTGCTGTGCTTCCTACAAATAATAAAAACAGTATTACTGCTGACACAAAACACTCATACAATCAAGTCTAATAAGCTCTTTGGCTGATTAACACCAATTCTATTACTTTCAGTTCCAAATGGGAGGAAAAAAAACTGGTAAGATACAAAGGAATAAGACTGATAAGAACTAAGAAGTCAAGTCTTTACCACTGGCAGCCTAACTGCCCAAAGTACAAGGCAGAATGGAAGGTTTCCCAGTTGTTCTAGGCAGCGTTTTCATCTCAGTGTCACTCTCTTAAACCACACAACGGCAACAACAGCTCCGCTTGCCTCCAACTAAGAGTAAAACCACGCTCTTTCCAATTACTTGTCGCATTAGGAAAATTTGCAAATATTTTTAGCTTCTGTAACATCACAAGGAAAGCCTCTAAGTGGCAATAGATCAGATTCTATTTCCTCCACTACCTAACTGCAAATATCTTCCAAAAATTAAGAACTCTAAAAATGCTGCTATAAAGAATAAGATAAACAAGAAACCTGTAAAGCCACAGGCACTTTTGCATCTTTGGCAAAATTACAATCATACTTCTGTACTATTTACCTGTTTTGTAGTGGATGTTTAATATACTGTTCAGGGCTGGCAACCTCCTGGCTAGGTGCTGGCTCAGTTTTCTCCTCTTCTGAAGGCTGAGTGTTGGGAGTGGTTTCCTGTTTAAAGAAAGCAGTTATTAATACATTCCTTCTCAATTTTTGTTGAAGTAATTTAGTTCTTTGAAGTAACTTTAAGAAGGCTTAAGCTAAGAGATCCTCTAACTCATCCTGAATTAGGGGCCCAAATCACATCAATGGAAGCACAATCTGCATGTATGGCTTTATTCTTCAGCATCTGAACACGTCCCATAATAAATACTAACTGCAGGAATTCACATTCTGCTGTTCAGTCATTTGCTTCCTGTGTCACTTGTTCCCACAATGGTTTACTTAACATACTCGTCTTCTTTTGAAACAGTTCTGAGAGTGATTTCAGAAATATAAAATATGCTACATTATACCGAATATACACATCTAAAGTAATTTCCAGATGAAAAATTTCAGAAGGAAAGTGATTTTTTTTTAAAATCAGTTTCTACAAAGCATCATTGGAAACAGATGTACAGGCCCTGTTTATTCAGAAAAATCTGTTATTAAAAATAGGAGACATGACAATTTTCAGGACTGAAATCAGCTATCACAAACAGCTAGAAACTAAATCGCGCAGTAGTTATTGTTGTATTTGCAACATCGCTACTAACAAAGCTTCAGGCACAAATCAGCAGAATTTCAACACATACCAGTTCTCAAATTTCTAACTGAAATAAATGTAACTACCTGTTTACCACCGATTAGACTGATACCAAGTATTATTTTTCCAAATCTCTAGACAGGGATAGAGATGTCAACTATACTTTATCACAAAAGTGAAACAATATATTCCCCTTGCATGCAAACTCCTTCAATCTCATCATTCACAGCCACTGTGTCAGGTTTGAAATTCTAATGCCATTCCTTCACACCAGGGAACACAAAGCTTTATTGTGAGGCCAAGTGTCCCTGCCAGTTACCACCATCTCTCCCTCATCTGCAATCTGTGCTTGAATATCAGAGACAAGGAATGAGGACTACAGCTAACATCAATGTCTGTACAGCTGACCCTGTGAAAGAAAAAGCACTTCAGTAATATAGACAAATACTAACTGCAGCAAACCCAAAGACTCTAGACATTCCTAAATGCAGCAATACGAAAGCAGTACTTAAATAATTTAAATTTTGTGGTCTTAAGAAAAACAAAGTGATATACAGGTGAATTAAATAATAGTAAATAATCTAATTAATGGTTTACTCCAGACTTCCATGTTTCTCAGTTTATCAACATCAAAGCTGCTGAAAAGTGGAATGGATCTGAATTGATAACATAAACTGTTTAAACTTCACAGTCCCAGCTGACAAACTCTGCTGGTAACACCTCAAGGTCTGTCTTAAAAGGGTTTTCCTTAGCTCAGTTGGTTGAGCTTGGTGCTGATAACACCAAGGTCGCGGGTTCGATCGCCATTCAGTCCCCATGTGTTGCCTGGTCTAGTCGAGAGGTGGCGTCCCTGCCCACGACAGGGAGGTTGGACTAGATGATCTCTAAGGTCCCTTCCAGCCTAGGCCATTCCATGATTCTGTGATCAATGCATTTAGTATCATTAAGCATGACATGTTTTACTTCAGAGAATGTATACCTCTATGCTTGAAAATTACATATCCTTTAGTTTAACAGCTCATCTAGAAAAAAAGAAAATCTCCGTTCAAAAGCTAATTTACACCACATCTAAGACTGTTTTCTTATACTCCCACGTTCACAGTGAAAAGACTGAAACCTGAAAGACCAACAGGGGCAGTTAAAACTAAGTTAGTGCTTTGAGCACAGTACAAGGGCCAGGTAGCACAATTTCCTTCCTCTTAAACAATATTTTGGAAACAAACTAAGCATTAAGTTTTGCTTTCATTCACAATAATCTGCAGCTGTGACAACTAATATTTATAATTGATTTACAAATGCTATTACACTAAAGATTTTTACATTAAACAAACTCACTCTCAACAAATGGAGTAGCTTCCAAAAATAACTTCAGTTGAGAAACTTATTCAGAATTGCTCTAATAGCTTCCAATATACAAAGAGCCAATCCTAAAGTCTACTTGGTCAGATTTCCAGAGTATAACAACTATATAAACTGGAAGAATCAATACAAAACTCATGACCACATGCCTGGCCATGCCATTTTATAATTCCTCATCAAAGATAACATCAGAAAGGACTAAGCACCTCCAGACAATTAAAAAAAAATAAAATGCAATGAGCCTCAATACTTGCCCAGTATACCAGTGGTCACTGTTCACATAACTATGCCAAAGTCCATTTCTGGACAAATGGAAGACATCTGACTCAGCACAAACTTTTCAGTTAAGTTACCACAATAACAAGTCCCTTAAATTATTCTAAAATTATTCTGTCTGGCATTAATGAAACTCCAATTAACCATTATTTCCAACTCCTGTCTGAAACAGTACAGGACAACTCACTTCCAAGGCCTGGGTAACTATAGTTTTGATATAGATTACACCACTCCCCTAAACTCAGCCAGATTTTATTTTTTTTTTCCCAGCACTAAGCTGCCCATTAAGGACAGATACAACTGTACATACAAGAATAAACCTGAAAAAAAGGTGTAAAGCTGGAAGCAGAGCCTATTACCACAGAACAATTTTCTGGGTGGTCTCAGATAGAAGCTGAAAGCAGCCTGTTTTCTCTACCTTTTATTTCCCACTGCCATTAAGGAAAACAAACAAATCATTTTCATTTTTGGTTAGTTACTCATGTCAGTCTCCTTGCATCTTAACTTTAACTCACTATTCCAAGCACCAGGCTAAGCTATTTGTATAGCAAAGTGCTTTTCAGTATTAGCCTGTTACACAGTACGTAAGTTCACTAATTGCTATTCAAGGTCCTTTTCTTGTATCCAACCTCTTTCCAGCTCTAGAAATTCTACCCTAAACACAAGCACACAGGTTTTCAGTATTCTACAAATACAACAAGAATTACAACAAGAATTCACATCTTGAAATCTTGTAATTGCTACACTGCTGACTTACTGAAGTCAGACTATCACCACCAGCAGTTTCTAGACCTCTAAATTTAAAATCCTTCACCCACAATACATTACTAACGCATTCTTTAACCTAAAATTGACTTTGAGTCTGCTATTAAACTAAGCCACCATTGAGTTTGCTGCTTTTAAAATAGATGTAACAAAATAGGCTAGTATTACCAGATAAACTGGAAAGCTTCATATGGCCAACTCCTCATCCGCAAGACAGCATGTAATTAAAAGTGACATTTATTCACTCCTCATATGGTTTTTGCTGCAGTAATCACCTTGCAGAAGTCCATGAACCATTCGCGTACTCAGCACTTGATGATCGTGCAGACCTGCACGTTACTTGGATTCCGACACTTGCAGATTTAATTGGTGTTATTTATTCTTTCTCCACAGCACATAATGACCAACATCAAAGGAAGGTGCACATGTCAACAGGACAGGAAGCAAATAGCACTTACGTAAAAACTACTTCATCAGGTTTGTCTATTGAAGAGAACTAGTTTGACTCAGGTGCTGCCCACACCACATCCATGTCTACAGGAGTCGTTTAGGAAGTCCAGTTGAAAAAGTGCACCATTTATGTGTCAGAAGGACATAAGCTAGCATTATTTTTCATTCCTGGTAGAAGTTATGAGTTATTTGTGGAAGAAGCTTCCAAAGTCTTCTTGCATTAAATCAAAACAAGGTATATTTCAGAGTTTCCACCTTCTTGTTCAGTATTTCCAACAGAATGAGAAAACTGCATGTCCCAGTTATCAGAAGTCCAAGGAAAAAGCATGTCAACTATCAGCTGGTCCTTATGCTTCTTGCAGACAACTTCTACTACACTACAATTAGAATAACAATTCACAAGGAAAAAAAAAATCAAGAGCTATTTGAAAATATTTCAGATGAAAAAAGGATGTAAGTCCACTCACAAGGAAGTATTACGCGCTATAAGAAAACAAGTGATGATCTGATACAAAGCTCTGAAGAATGAATATACAAACGTAAGAATTATAGTATGTGGTAATACCAACTAGAAGAGAGGTACCAATAGCCACCTGTCACCAAACAGCATTTAACAGCTTTCCAGACACCAGGACAGAATTTTTTTTAAGCATGACATAACAAGCCCTAATATGGAACAGCTATACTTAACTGCACGCACCACAGATTTTTAGCAAGGTATTCACTATTGGAACACAAAGACAGTACACAATTTTAACTGAGTTACATCCAACCAAATTAGAACAGAAATGTAACACATGTACAGGAGGACACTTCGACACTTGCTACCACTGACAGATTTCTGACTTGCTACACTTCTGACATTTGCTGCCACTTCTGACTCCAGTCTGCATCTGCTGCTGCCTTTGCTATTGGAACATGAAATTTATCAATGAAATAAGATGACTTTCCCCATCTAACATTCGATTAGTGCTAAGGCACTCAGACAAGAAAACAAAAAAAACTTCTCAAAACTGCCGAAGAGAACAGTTCAGATGACTCAAGGGACAAAACACTTCTCATCTGCCCCTGCACTTCTAAACAATAGACACAAAAGCACTCCCAACTGCTGTGAGTATACTGAGCCAACCAAGAAGTGAATTTCACAATCAGCCAAAAAAAAAAAGACATATTCAATCTTCATAAAAGAAATTAAACCAAAATTGTATAATGTATGGATGCTCAAGAGGTCAAAAACAAAGTACATGACATACATGCTAGTATGCCCGATTACTGTAAAGCATGTAATCTACACAAGCTACTTTGATAAGCAGCACAGAACATGAGAAAAATTACCACTATTGAGAAGATCATTCATTTAAACAACAGCTCTGCACATTTAGGGGGAAAAAAAAAAAGACAATAAACCAATCCAATGTTAAAACTTTTTAAAAATTTTAAACTTTTCTGCCTTACATCCACTATATAAGAATTAAGGACAACTGTCATTTTCAAGCATCTGACAGGACACTTGTATTACATAGCATACTTAAATTTGTACATCACACACTTAATATCTTCGTAACAAACATTTTAAAGAGGAATAGGCTCTGGGAA